TCTATCTCCTTTGATTTGACTCAACTTTAATGCATTTTAGGTAAAACCGAATTAACATTGGATCAATTCAAGGCCCTGGATGAGCACATAAACCCGCGATTGTCGCCTATAGTGAACAGCATTGCAGACTATTGTTCAAAGCAGGTGGTTTCGCCGTCAAACATTCAGGAAAGTTCGCCCAAGTTTATCTACTTCAATAAGCTGAATTTGGCCTGTAAAAGCACGGTGAGGAACCAGTTCGATTGAGGTTTCCGGGGTTAAAATCGGCAAGTTTTCAGGTTCATTTGGACAACAAACATACGGGGAATGTGGCTTGTAGTGCGGACTCGTTGCGGATAATGGCAGACATGAAGAATACGAGCCATTTCCTCGGCCCCTCGGGCGAGAACATCGTGAAAACCACCAATGATTACTGGGTGTTTAGTAAAACGTCGAACCTACGGGAGTTTTACATTGTGCTGCAACAGAAGAGCGCCAGCCTAATTTCCATCAGCGGTCTGATTGGCTCAGCTGGTTGAGTGCGTTCAATTTTGAAAAGTTTTCTTTTGCAGAGGAGGTGAAACGACTGTGCGAAAGCGAGCTAGAAGGCATCTTTTTCCACCCCATGTGACCCTGGGTGTTCATCCACCATTCCAATAGGATACCTAGTTAATTGGCACTAACTGCTTGTGTATATACTTTGCTAAAGAATGTCTATTACAGTTTGCAGTTTAAATTCCGGTCGTCATCAACTAGCGGTTTACTTGGAGAAGTTTTTAATCAGCGCGAAGATCGAGTAGGACGTTTTGAGAATCTGTAACGGGAAAATCGGATGGGAGGATCACACGCCAATCAGCCACTTACCGACATGAATGTGGGCAAAGTCAAGCGGGCCAGTTTGCCAGCGGTGAAGTAAACGGGGCGATTAGTGCGCAACATGGTAAATATCATTTGTTTCTTGAAACAGTCATCGGTCGCCAGCCACTGACTCTCCCAGATATGCATCGGGAGCTGCTCGTACTAAACAAATCAATCAGTAACCAGCTGATTGGGCGGTTCAATCACTTGCCTTTAGAGTGACCTCATTGCCGAACCAGCAATAGAGAAACAGCTCGAAGAGCATCGCCATCATGTAGACTAATTCCGCGAAGAATTGCTTGCTGAATGGCGAGGCCTGCAGAGCATCAACTGATTGATTGATTGATTTCAGTGTTTAGTTAATGTATTCTTATCTTTCCTGGGTCTCAGTCAAAGTGTGAAGTAAAAAATTTGAATATCGTTTATTTCATAACGTTTCGGCGAGACAACAGCGCCATCATCAGATTTAAAATCCATACAAACTCATAATTGGGAAATATTAGATTCTTTTAGGTCTTTGCTGTCTTGAAACGTCAAATTTGTTCGAATTATTGTCTACATTTGCTACGCAGGCAAATGCAGACAATAATTCGAACAAATTTGAGGTTTCAAGACAGCAAAGACCTAAAAGAATCTAATATTTCCCAATTAT